CGTGTATTAATTTCGACTTTGTCGTTCGCCGGGTACATCATGACATGTTATTATAATTATGTGAAAACGTTCGATGCTATCCGTACGATTAATAGTATGATGGTCGTAAATGTATGTAATCGTGACAGATGAATATATAGGTAATATTGCGATCACGAAGAACGACGACTGCTGCTGCTGGTGCCGGGCGATAGGCGTAAGTCGCTCGGCGCACGGCGCTCAGCGCTCTGCGCGCGGCGCTCGGCGCTCAGAGACCGTTCGTGTATTAAAATTGGTATTCTGTTCGTGTATTAAATTCGACTTCGCGCCGCGAGCGGCGCGCCGGGAGCGCGCGCGAGCGCCGAGACTTTTTAACCGCTCCGTCTATTTCGAGTAAAATTTTAACGCTGCCGTCGTCGTGCCGTATACTGTTCGTGTATTAATCATTTGACGTTTCGTATACAGTTCGTGTATTAAACCGAACCTATACGTATAACCGACAACGTCCAAGACCAATCTCTCTTGAGAAAATTCTATATCGTATAAAGTAGTAAGTCGGTATTAGTTACGTATTATAATATCGATACGAAGTGCGCGTGTTTCGTTCGAAACAAACGACGCTCGACGTACGATATAGATACTAACTATACCATACTATTACTATAGTATATACGATAGAATAGAGAGAGCGCCCTTCGGCGTTTCGGCGGCCGCCGCCGCGCACCGAACGCATACAAACAAAAACATTTCACATATGTATGTATTGTACGCGTGTCGTTTACGCGACGACGACGGTCATCGTCCTCGGACGAATCACCTGGCGTAGGGCTGAGTCTCAACAGATCGCAGCACGACGCTGCTCTACCGAGCACAACACCCCGCCAGGAACGGAAGTCGTCTACAGACTATTCCGAGCCCCGACATCGAACTGAGGTAAATTCGGACCTTCGGAGCCGTGATGCACGCATTAAACGGACAGCATCGATCTCCGCGATCCAAATGGGCTTCATCAAAAAGCAACGTCGCTATGAACGCTTGGCTGCCACAAGCCAGTTATCCCTGTGGTAACTTTTCTGGCACCTCTTGCTAAAAACTCTTTATACTAAAGGATCGATAGGCCGTGCTTTCGCAGTCCCTATGCGTACTGAACATCTGGATCAAGCCAGCTTTTGCCCTTTTGCTCCACGCGAGGTTTCTGTCCTCGCTGAGCTGGCCTTAGGACACCTGCGTTATTCTTTGACAGATGTACCGCCCCAGTCAAACTACCCGCCTGGCAGTGTCCTCGAACCGGATCACGCGGGAGTTGTACGGCGACGAGCGTTGCCGCCACGTCGCCACTCTGCACGCTTGGAACGAAACACCGTGCGCCCGCCGATATTATCGACCGCGCACCGCTTCCGCCCAACCGAGTAAGTAATGAAACAATGAAAGTAGTGGTTTTTCAGCGACGATCGCGCGAACGATCTCCCACTTATGCTACACCTCTCATGTCTCCTTACAATGCCAGACTAGAGTCAAGCTCGCACACATGTTTCCAAATATTCAAAAATATTTAAAATAGTATATAAGCATGCTAAGTCGCTCCACATTAGTAATAAAATCAGGACCGCGGAAAAAAAAATAAAAGCTACCTGGAATATAATTAATAAAGAAACAGGTAGAAATAAATCACAAAACACTGAATTAAATTAAAAAACCAATAATTTTTAACAAAAAAAAAAACCGACTTCAAAACGTAAACTAAAAAGCAAAAAATTAATTTTGTTTGTTTAAAATAATACATATTTTCATTTAGTTAAATATAAAATAATATTTAATAACTATTTTATAATCTTAAAGTCGGTGCCAAGTAAAAGAATAATAGTGTAAAGATATTACCTACATACCTCTTGCTAGTTTGAGGATTAGTAGTATTCAATATATTTTTCTAATACTCTTATTGTTTGGTATGTAGTATTTACTTGGCACCGACTTCAAAATTATAAAATAGTTATTAAATATTATTTTATATTTAACTAAATGAAAATATGTATTATTTTAAACAAACAAAATTTATTTTTTGCTTTTTAGTTTACGTTTTGAAGTCGGTTTTTTTTTTGTTAAAAATTATTTTATTTCACAATTTTAAGTGATAGGCAGAGAAAGCTAGGATGCTTCTCAAAAGAGAAGACGACGGCTACTTGAGACCGAAAATCACGGTAAATGGCAGTCCTGAGTTCAGTGCCGTAAATCGTTGAGGAATTCCCTCAAATGTCAATGACCTCCATCATCTGCATCAGTATACTGCAGGCCTTCATTATACATAATCTACATAGGTGCAAAGTTCTCAACAATATAAATGAATGAAGTCCAAACACATTATAATTACTCGAAATAGTCAAAGAGATCCCAGGACGGTCTTCCGGCTCCATCATCACAATTTACTGCATAACTTCATTGTAATGAAAAACTGAAAAACTAAAAAAATAAAAAACTGCATCGATATCGATGCAGTTTTATGGATTACAATGAAAATCTTTTCATCTATTTTCATCGATATATATGAACGAAGTCGAAACACGATGAAAACTTTTCATCGATATATATGAACGAAGTCGAAACACGAGGTAGTTACTGTAAACCGTTCAGGAGTTCCCTGAGCTGTTCTTTTGATCATCATCAGACCCTTAATGACAGTCACGACCAATCTTGGTGCAAAGTGCTCACCAATACGAATCATTCAAGCCTAAACACAAGGCAACTACTCCAAATAATCAAGGAGATCCCTCGACTGCCTTCCGGATCATTCATCACAATTTACTGCATAACTTTATTGTAATCCATAAAGGTGCAAAGTTTCCATCGATATAAATGAATGAAGTCGAAACACGAGGAAGTTACTGTAAACCGTTCAGGAGTTCCCTGAGCTGTCCATCGTTCTCATCATCAGACCCTTAATGACAGTGACGACCAATCTTGGTGCAAAGTACTCACCAATACGAATCATTCAAGCCCAAACACAAGGCGACTACTCCAAATAGTCAAGGAGATCCCTCGACTGTCTTCCGGCTCCATCATCAGGTCGGGTTCGAACATCGGCAAGTTGTAAATTGGTCAAAAGCCTACTAAAATCATATGCAAAAGCACACCTCGCCCCTACAATTTTTGAAAGTTCCCCTCGATTTCTCTGGTCTTCCATCATCAGATCCTGATTTCCTTTTCATGTGACCATTCTGGGACTATCTCCATTCCAATAAAAAAAGAATTATCAAAATCGGTTCATAAATAACGGAGATATCGGCGAACAAACATAAAAAAAGCATAGATACGGTCGAATTGAGAACCTCCTCCTTTTTTGGAAGTCGGTTAAAAATAGCAACAGATTTCTACAGTAACCTTTATAACTCGCCAAATCAACCACCGTGTAAATTACCGAGCAATGTTTTTTATGTTTGTTTTTTATTTAATAAAATAAAAAATAAAAATTCTGAAAAGACATGACCATAAAGCTGAAAAAAAGTCATCAATACCTGCCTGCTGCCCTCTTTAACTTATGCCTGTCAAACATGGAAATTCACGTACAAAATAAAATATTTTTTAACAATTAAAAATTATTTTAAATTTAACTAAATGAAAATATGTATTACTTTAAACAAAGTAAATTTATTTTTTGCCTTTTAGTTTACGTTTCGAAGTCGGTTTTTTTTGTTAAACATTATTTTATTTCACCATTTTAAGTGATAGGCAGAGAAAGCTAGGATGCTTCTCAAAAGAGAAGACGACGGCTACTTGAGACCGAAAATCACGGTAATGGCAGTCCTGAGTTAGTCAGCTTTCAGTGCCGTAAATCGTTGAGGACTTCCCTCAAATGTCAATGACCTCCATCATCAGGTATACTGCAGGCCTTCATTATACATAATCTTTACAGGTGCAAAGTTCCCATCAATATAAATGAATGAAGTCCAAACACATTATAATTACTCGAAATAGTCAAAGAGATCCCACGACGGTCTTCCGGCTCCATCATCACAATTTACTGCATAACTTCATTGTAATCCATAAAGGTGCAAAGTTTTCATCGATATAAATGAATTAAGTCCAAACACGAGGTAGTAACTGTAAACCGTTCAGGAGTTCCCTGAGCTGTCCTTCGTTCTCATCATCAGACCCTTAATGACAGTCATGACCAATCTTGGTGCAAAGTGCTCACCAATACGAATCATTCAAGCCCAAACACAAAGCAACTACTCCTAATAATCAAGGAGATCCCTCTACTGTCTTCTGGCTCCATCATCAGGTCGAGTTCAAACATCGGCAAGTTGTAGCGTTGTCAAAAGCCAACTAAAACCACATGCAAAAGCACCACTCGCTCCTACAATTTTTGAAAGTTTACCTCGATTTCTCTGGTCTTCCATCATCAGGTCCTAATTTCCTTATCATGAGACCATTTTGAGACTATCTCCTTTCCAACAAAAAAGAATTATCAAAATCGGTTCATAAATAACGGAGATATCGGCGAACAAAAAAAAAAACAGTCGAATTGAGAACCATCCTCCTTTTTGGAAGGGGGTTAAAGGGGGTTAAAAACTAAAGTCATCGATGCCCTCAGTTATGCACAGAAATTAAAATGGCGATGGCAGGACATGCAGCTAGACTCAGTGACAACCGCTGACCGTCAAGTCAAAGATGAAAGGGTAAACCAAATGCACGCTGGACAGACGACATCTTAAAAATAGTGGGATAAACTGGATGCGAGTAGCAGACGATAGAAATATCTGGCTATCTCTGGAGGAGGCCTTTACCTTCCAAGAGGGATTCTTAAAAAAAGAATATACACATTCTTATGCATATAATATAAAAACTCAAATACTAAAACGCTTTTTGTAACGGATTCTTAAATTTAGTTTTTAAATGTATTTTATTTTCTAGCAAGAAATAAAAGGCTTTTTTATTTTTTTATTTATTTACTTACTTTTAAGGAATATCTAATATAATAGTATAAAATAAAATAGTAATTAAAAAATGAATAAATACTAATAATTCTTTAGGTATCTGGGCCTACATAACAGCCATTTTCTTCATTAACTTCACAAGTACCATAAGGAACATCATAATCCAAAGCACTCCTGTCTCTATTCGGACTTTTTGCGGCAGTTGGTCGTGTGTCGTATGCGTATGCATACGCACTATCATTTATATTTGTGATTGAATTAATATTTTTATAATTATGTTGATGACCATCATTATTTTTTACATCTAGTGATTCATTAACCATCACTTTTTCCGTATTTAATTTCTTCAAATTACCATTACGCATCAATTTATCGTATGTGTTTTCATTAGCATTATTTTCTTTATTAGCTTTAGATCTATTTTTAGTAATGTGTATTACTTGGTTAATATTTTTATTGGCTAATTTAACTGGTGCTTTGAAATATTCATCGATTTCTGTATAGTGATTTTCTGATGGAGCGTGGCTCTGCCTTAAGTTCGGATATTTAAGCAATTCATCATTATTTGCATACGAGTAATTTTCTTGCGTAACATCTTCATCAATTTTCGTGTAGTGATCATTGTCATCCCATTGCGTTGGAAATGTCGGTATTGGGCTTGCGTCATGGTCGGAAATGTGGTTGTAAGAATTCTGAAATTTAATGTTATATTATCATATATGTATATCGTTCCGTACTTCTGTATCATTTATTCATAAAACCCCAAGCAAGCGATCGCGCACTTACTGTTCTTCAATTGAGTCTCGAATTACTACGATTGAAAGGTATTTTACCACGATCTGACGAAGAACAGTCGTGAAGTAACGCTTGCGTTGTGTTTTGCCGTGTGGAACGTCTACAGGCTATTGGGTCTCCGGTAACCTCACTCACGTTATCGGAGGCAATTGGACTATTAGGACACTTCTTAATGTCTAATAAGTCCTTTCTCTTTACATTCTTCTCCATAGTGTGGCAAGTGTCCATGGGTGATGCTGAATGCTTACCATCAGATGAACTGCTTGTTTGCCCTCATCCGATTGGAAAAATAATTAAGTCTTACAGACTGTGCAATGAGACAATGTTTTTTTTTGCCGTTTGTGTGTGTCAAATTTTTCTTAACTAAAAATGTAACTTGACAGCGTTATAAAAGTGGGTAAATATTTTCAAATAATTTACATTAAGTTTTTTGAGAGTTGAAATAGATATATGTTTGACTAGCTGTGTATGTGAAATTGTATGTTTGCGTGTTTTGACGGACCCATGACACAAGAGAAAATTCTATGGTGGGTAACGTTTTTTAAAGTGAAAATAAATAAATAAAAACTAGCTAAACTTACGTTAAGTAGTCTCGCCAATTTTGCCCTTCTGCACCAGAAAATAAGGCTGTATATCAAAATAGCAATAAAGATAGCACAGACGGCTAGGTAAAGTAGTATTAATGCTATGGACCCATCTGTAAATGAAACAAAAACCATTAAACAAAACAATATGTTCTATTATAATAATATTTACGATTTTTTTTATACTTTTTCTTGCATAATACGATAAAGGAAAATATTGCGAAATAACCTAGACTCTAATATTAAAATTGTATGTTTGAAATCACCAAGTTGTCTGGAGCAAACGTACGGTAATGCTCAGACCTTCTTCGTATGACAAGAGGCCTTTGCTTAGCAGGGGCTGGTGGTAATGATGATGATGATGATTATGATATAAAATAGACAATTTAAATGTGCTTAGAAAATTTTCGCTTCATTTACTTACATTTGTTCATTTCTATTTCCAAATTTTCTGTATTAGATTCATATTTTAGTTGTAATTTTACTTCGGTAACCTTGTAAAAACTTGGTTGTTCATAAGCAATGCATTTTATCACTGTTTCATCATCGATTCCACTTAATGTTCTTGTAAAATTTTCAGTTGAATATTTTATAGCCTCCAAGTCGTTTGTATAATAATATTCACCTAAATCTTTACCTGATTAAAAAATTACACTTTTTATTGTACTTATTTTAAAGGAATGCCCAGCCCTGGGTGAGACCATAGGAAGTGTCCGATTTTTACTGACTAATCACCACCTCATATTTTCTCCTCTAAGCCGGGCACATGCCATGGGTTGGCTCGACACGCTATATATAGGTATATGAGAGAGCCATGCTTCGGCACGAATGACTCGACGCGACCGGAGTACAGCCTCACAGAAAACAGACGTGAAACAACAACAACGTTGTGTTTCGCCGTGTGAATAAGGTTACCGGAGGCTCAATCCGTAGATTAAAACAACTTATAAAAGTGATATACTTGTGATTATTCTATGTAGATATTGTTAGAATGTTATTAAAAAAATACAACGGTCACGAACCAGTCTGCGAAGAAATGATAAATATTACTATTACTTATATGATAAATACTAGCTTTTGCCTGCGACTTCGTTCGCGTGGAATAGTGACTCGAGTTCCAAACTATGTCTGTACCAAATTTCACAGAAATCGGTTCAGTAGTTTAGGCGTGAAGAAAAGACAGACAGACAGACAGAGTTACTATCGCATTTATAATATTAGTATAGTATACAGGGTGTAAGGGACAGCCCTACACAAATTAACAGGGCGAAATCAGCTCCTTATTCTGAATCATATTCCAGTGAAAATTCTTTCAGAAAAATTTCATTTTTTTTTTTCGTTTTTCCAGTTCCTAAGGCTCTATTTCAATGTATAATCACATTCTCTGTATGAAGAATAACATTAATGTAAAAACAAAAAAAGCAATGGTTGTTAAAATTCTCTAAAGAATTACGCATGAAATCAGCTGTTCAATTTCTACCTAGCTAGAGTTGTTTGAACTCACCGCGCCGCGGTCACGGCGCCCACCGCGCAGATCGCCGCGATCGTAGGTATACCTACGATCCCGTGCAACGTACAGAATAGCTGCGTCCCTTTCTGTCGCCCCGCCTCCGCGTTTCCCCGATTTTTTGCACAATGTTGCCAACTTTTAACTTTTGTTACCTCAATTAATCAATTAATGAAAATCTTACACATAAATTGAATAAAAAAATAAAAATTAGACTACTTAGTTTTAATTGATTGTTCTTTTCAAGCGGTTACTGGCTAGTTTTTAAACTACTTACAGTTTATTTATTGTTTTCGGCTTCACACTTGGCTTGGCTTGTCACGTAATAATTTGACGAGATACGTAATAATTTGAGGTATATTATTCCCATATTCATGAGCAGCATTCCGCGACACGCGACTCGGCGACTGTCGCGCTGCTACTGGCTACTCGAGTCTGCGCGCCCAACGCGCCCTCTGCCGCGATTCACGCGTTCTTTCTTCTAGCCGTGGTGTCGGCAGCGACGGCGCGCGCCACACTGTTGGCACGCTAGACTCACCCGCCTGCAGCTGCGTTGGTGTTGGGTTCGAATCCCGGGTCGACGCAAAAACAGTGTTACATACCGCGCTAACTGTGTCACACTCCAGACCCGCAACAGTGCAGTCTGACGCAGATTTCAGACTCGGCTTCCAGGCAGGTGGTAATGACCAGCCACCGTCTCTGTTGAAGTTCGGACGCCGGCTTCTTTCGATGGCCTCACGTACTTTCCGCGGTTTTTTTTCTTTTTTTTTGTCAAGGGAAAATCATCAAATGACTTCTGCCGCCCAGGGCCGGGCGGGAGGGAGTGTCAGACTCTTACTGACTAAAACCCCCCCTGTTCCTTCTCCTGCTCTGGGCCGAGGTCGCGGTGCCTCATTGCGCTTACCCCGCAACCCCGGCTGAACATCAGCCCTTTAGGGCCCCATCTGTGGTGGTCTGTTGGCTCTTTGAGGCGCGCGCGGAACGCTACGCGCCGTACGCTCGGGCCTGGTTCTGGTCGGGCGGCGAGCTGCTATTACTCGCCGACCGCAGGCCCGTGCTTACGGTGGCCGGAGATCGTCCCTTGATCCCCGACGCCCGTAGTGTCGCCAGTTGCGGCTGCTGGGGCGTGAGGAGGAGGATTGCTCCCTCACGCGGGCTGCCTCTCTCTTTGCGAGCATGACTGCTTCACAAAAGGAGGAGACGGCGTCCCAGTTCCTCTCACTCCGCACCATGGCCTCGACTAAGGCCGGGCGCGAGAGGTCGCCGCCGCCGATCACTTCCCTGAGGATACGGCGGTGCTCAGCCCAGGCAGGGCATACCGCTACCGTATGCTCCACCGTATCCTCTAGGTGTTCCTCATAATGACGATACTGGGGCGTTTCCTCCCGCTGGATCCGAAACAGGAACCTACCGAAGCTGCCGTGCCCGGTTAGCACCTGCGTCAGGCGGAAGGTGAGGACGCCGTGGCGTCTCTCAAGCCACTCCTCAAAGAGGGGTCTTACCACTGCTATAGTAGCGTGCCCGGCCCTCGGTTGCGACAGTCGCTGCTTCCACTCAGCCATGAGATCTCTCCGGAGCTCATTCCGCCACGCACTAATTTGGCGCGGCAGAGGATCTTCGCCCCGGCGACGCGCGTCTGCGCGCAAACTGTAGACGCGCGCGAGCGCCTTCGCTTCTAGATCCTATGGCGGTGATCCGGCAAGGAGGTTCGCCGCCTCCCCGGAGATCATACGATATCTGCGGATTATTCGGATAGCCATGACCCTCTGGGATGTGACCAGCGTACTAGCCGGCCGCCGCTTCAAGTCCGGCGCCCACACAGGGGCACCGTAGAGGGCCATGGGTACTTTCCGCGGTACGAAGTATTTTTCCCCCGCTAGTACTGAGACCTTACCTTACCTTTTACGACCATGCATCATTTTTTTTCCCCGAAATTGCAAATTTTCATGTAATTGGCAACAACTGATTTATGTTTGTGTGTGTCTCATCACATGCAGTCGCCATTGTGCCTGGCTGCGAAGTAGGTACTGTTTGTGTACCGCGAGCGTGTGTCGGTACGGATCGCTCGCGCTTTCGGGTTAAAAGTTTTGTTGTAGGTAGTGTTGTTAAGTTTTATTAGTTATAGGAAGTGTAGTGAAGTTTTATCGCAGAAATAGTGCGAAATTACTACCTACGTTTAGCGCGCGTGATAATGGGGAGATGATAATGTGTAGTAGTGTAGGTATCCTGACCGTCGGCATCCATCAGACTTCAGGATAATGACTGGTGCCTATCAACGCTTGCTAGAAAACCAGCCCATTGTTCCCAGACAAAAAGGCGCCGGAAGACCAATAACGAGAAGACCAGTAACGAGACGCTACCACTTACCAGTGCTTTCCTATTTAAACGTAGTTTAGGTAGGTTTGGACCGCAACCGTGGCCATCACGATCCCCAGACCTAACCCATTTGGACTTCTTTTTGTGGGGTTACATAAAAGAAAAAGTGTTTGTGAGTGCGTGTGCAAGTGAGTACGAAATGCGAGACCGCATCACAAATGCTTTCCAGCAGCTGCGCCACAGCTGCAACAAAGATTCCACCTTGTTGCCCCGCTTTCTTCGCGCTTAGGGTAGGGATTTTTCTTTTTTATCAGTTACCATGTTATGATTGTTAGGTACATTTCTTTTGTACGTAATGTGGCGCGAGCGCGGCCGTTTGTCCGAAAGGTCAGGTCGCGGTGATAGCGATACATTGCGTGTAAGGTAATGAAACAAATCAGTTTAATTGGATTCCCATAACGTTCCTGAAATAATTTCATGAACCGGTCAACTTAAGACGATATACTGAATATACCCTATCAGTTTGCGGAAGGCTGTCCTTTACACCCTGTAGATTAATGATAAAAAATAATATTACTAAATAACCGTGTTTTGAAACACTCAAGTGTGTTACACGCTATATTTATGGGAGAGCCATACTTCGTCACGAATGTGTCAGCTCGACCATAGTGATATATACACGGTCTTACAGAAAACCGACTGAAACGAGCACAGCGTTGTGTTTCGCCGTGTGAGTGAGGTTACCGGAGTCCCTATCCTTCTCTTCCCCAATCCCAAATACTCCGAATCCGTAATCCCTAAATTACGGATTCGGAGATTTTGGGATTGGGGGTCGGCAACACACTCGTAACTCCTCTGTTGTGGCTCGTCTGCTCATTTGCCGTCCTATCACATAAGAAAAAACAAAGCAATCAAATAAACCAGATTCTTTTACTTACCTTTGAAATTCCATACAAATTTATAATTTCCATTAGCTACGACATTTAGAGCACATCCCATATTGATGGTTTCGTTAGCTGTGTACTCGTAGATAGTCGTCCACGTGTTACCGCTGAGGTACTCGTACAAAACATTTGGTCTGGGCAGACCAAATACACGTACCGTGCGATCTGTAAGAAGAAAATTTAAATAAAGCGAAGTTAGGCATTTTACGCTAACACGAAACTTTTATTTATTTACTAGCTTCCACCAGCGGCTTCGCCCGCGTGCTGTGTTGATAAAAAGCAGCCTATAGCAATAGAACAAAATCGAAGTATACATAAAATTTGTTATTAATCATCTCATTTTTATGGTTACATCTCCAATAGGTAAATACTACTTCAGTCTCCGCTATGCGTCCGTCCATAGACAGAATGGTACGCATCTAACTAATTAGTAAGTATTACAAATCTATACTTATAATAAATCTGTAGAGAGGTCAATTCTGTACATTAAATATATTTTCAAAATAACAGGGGGTGATAAGTGATCGATACTAATGCCAAAAATGCAATCAGTAAAATTTTTGTCTGTCTGTCTGTCTGTCTGTATGTTCCTTATAGAAACAAAAACTACTCGACGGATTTTAACGAAACGTGGTACAATTATTTTTTATACTCCTGGGCAGGTTATAGGATACTTTTCATCACGCTACAAATAACAGGAGCAGAGCAGTGAAGGGAAATGTTGGAAAAACGGGAGAAGTTAAAGTTTAAGAAGTTAAGTTAAGAATCTATGCTATCTGACAGCTGTGTGGACCTAACGCATACGAAGCAATGGAGCGCCGCCTGGCGGCAGAAAAAGTCTTGAAAATACTCATTGGTTTGTTTTGGCATATCGTTATATTGATAAGCCATTTTTGCTATCGGATTGTAATAAAAACATTGCTATTGCCCCGATCGGTCGCCAACCAAACTCACTCGATGGGGTCCCGACCTATGCTCTTCAACTGAAGTCTCCAGTAAAGGAAAGCGTGGGTAACATCGTCAATGAGTTTGAACAACGTGGGTTGATGTAGGTCAAGACGCCCCCTGCCTTCTGATACAATACAATATTATAAAATACTAGAAATAGATAAAAATTGTGCTCAATTATTTCGTAAAGTACATAGTTACAAAATTATCTACATACTTGAAATACAATAAAAGCTAATAAAATCGTGTAAATAAATAAACATTTAGAAACCTGCAATATCAGACTGGAATGTTATCCTGGCGGTTCCTTTTCTTGCATTTCTATCGATACCAGTAAAACCACAAGTAAGAGACTTTTTATTCAAATTAATTTCAGATGTATTTATGATGGCAACATTTTTGCCATCCATCTGCTTAGCTGCAAATAAACATATTAGTTACAGAATGATAGTCTTTTATAGCCAGAGTGATTGTCAAGAATACATTCAACTCATTTTTCAACTGGAACTGCATAGGTACTAAATAAAAAAACTATTGTTTCAATATCTTGATGCAATTAAAATTTATTCAAATATCGCTTGTAGGGTTTCGTAGTAAACTAGGAACCCTTATAGTTTCGCCATGTCTGTCTGCCTGTCCGTCCGCGGACAACTTCGGTGGCCATTAGCACTAAAATTGCCAACTCCATTTTGCAAAATTCTTTTCAGAGGTGTTGCGTTTGAGTATCAAGTTTCTTTAAATTTGGCTTAGACTACCAGGATTTAGAAGATAATCATGTTAATATTGGTTCTGTAGTCACAAACCTTTGATTTTCGATATATTGTTAACGTCAAAACTAAACTGCAATGGGGTAGTTGAATGCTTTCGTCTCGTTTCACAAGTGACGACGATCACTTCCCCGTTAATGTATCTGAATGGAGGATACTCAAAATATGACCCATTTTTTCTTACGTCGCGTTCCAACAATCCGTTCACTGATAATCTTATAAAATTATCTTGTTCATCTAAAAGTAAAAAAAAAACGATTGGATCATTTCTACACATCTATACTAAATGAGCCGGCTCTTTCCATGTGAACATTAGCTCATGACGATAGTTAAGTACGTGTGTCACCCTGACAGTCAACTTCGCTACATCCTTGTTGACTGTACACACAGAAAACTGGCGTGAAACAACCACAGCGTTGTGTTTGGACATGAGGTAACCGGAGGCCCAATACTTCCCCTACCCCAATTCCTAAATCTCCAAATCCCCAATCCCCAAAAGGTCGGCAACGCACCCGCATCACATAAAAAAAACATCTACACTACATGCTCTGCTGTTTACATGCTACCTAAAGTTCCTGTGTCGCCTGAACAGTGCAACTCGCTTCATCCTTGTTGTTGACTTCGAAATCCTTAACTTGCTGATGGGCTGTTTGTAACTCAGTTAATGTATTACTGACTAGCATTGTTTGACCAGAAATATGTATTAATTAAACATTTTTTTGCTTAATTTTAATAATCAACAAAATCCTTAAAAAATACTGTCATTCTCAGAGGTAGAAAAGCAAACATAAAAATTTGAGCTCATTCTTTTGATATGTCCTATAAAAATTCTAATTTTGTTACAAGATTTCACTTCACAGGCATAAATATATTCAATGCATGTTAAATAAAATTGTGTATTAAAAAATATTGTACGTAACCTTCTTCGTCTTCATGTATAATTGGATCTATACCTTCAATAATTATATTTATTATATTTTTTAAATTTTACCTAGCTTGTTATCCATTTCTTTTTCATAAAAATAAGTTCTGTATCTGTATTCCCGCTTTGGACTGTCTGTGTCACAAATACAGTCGATGTAAAACATCTCTTGCTTCGAAGTTAACCTTGTTCGGAGCAATTGACTGGCAACATTAGCTGGTGTTCTAAATATAATTTTTCCTGTAAACAAAATTATAATTTGTTAAACATACTGTTAAATTTTGTACTCCATCATAGTAGATATGTCCTGCCCTTTACACGTGAACATTACCACACCACGATACCTAAGTACGTGTGTCAATTGGATAGTCAACCATTTTCCATTTTTAGTAAGAGGTCGGCAAACCTTTGGACTAAAACACGGATGACCTGATGGTAAGCAACCAGCGCCGCCCATGGACACCTGCAACGGAGGAGTTACGAGTGCTCCCACACTAGACATCCTTGTTGACTGGACATCTACACTACATGAGCTGCTGTTTACATGTGAACATTAGCTCATGACGATACCTAAGTACGTGTGTCGCCTGGACAGTCAACCTCGCTACATCCTTGTTGACTGGACATCTACACTACATGAGCTGCTGTTTACATGTGAACATTAGCTCATGACGATACCTAAGTACGTGTGTCGCCTGGACAGTCAACCTCGCTACATCCTTGTTGACTGGACATCTACACTACATGAGCTGCTGTTTACATGTGAACATTAGCTCATGACGATACCTAAGTACGTGTGTCGCCTGGACAGTCAGCCTCGCTACATCCTTGTTGACTGGACATCTACACTACATGAGCTGCTGTTTACATGTGAACATTAGCTCATGACGATACCTAAGTACGTGTGTCGCCTGGACAGTCAACCTCGCTACATCCTTGTTGACTGGACATCTACACTACATGAGCTGCTGTTTACATGTGAACATTACCTCATGACGATACTTAAGTACGTGTGTCGCCTGGACAGTCAGCCTCGATACATCCTTGTTGACTGAAGATCTACACTACAGGAGCTGATGTCAACTTGTGAAAATAAGCTTATCATCGCCTATGACAAGGATTGGCCGCAGAAACCTTTACATGAAGAGGATGGAAGGGAGGTTAGTTTTTGGCCCTGCAGTAAGAGAATCATGACAAAAAATAATATAATAAGTAAAAGCATTATCATCAATAAAAATAAGTGTCCACTGACTGAAAAAAGCCTCTCTTTAGAAAGCAGAAATACCACAGTTACTCTGATATATGATCTTCATTCACAGTATATCAATGTTTTTTTATAGAATAGTCAGAAAGAGCAGACGGATGACCTGATTGTAGGCATTCACCGCCCATAGACAATAACGACAACAAAGAAGGTCTTTGAGAAGGAGAAGGCCTTAAAGGTCTTTAAGAAGAACGGGCTTCTCTTGATGGTTACAAGGACGTTACTCGAAGACTAGACTACTAGTTGTCAATATTCCTTTTTTATGGGATTGGTCGATCAATTACCTAATAGATCACCTGATGGTTCTAATTGCTACGCAATCTCGTTGTCATCCTTTTGGGGTTATGAGGATTGAAGGAATTGGAGATCAGGGATTTGAGGGAGGCATGGTTCTACTGTAACCTCACTCAAACGGCTACAGACAACGCAAGTGTTGCTCCACGCCGGTACTTATGTGAAGTTGTAGAGTGGGATCCGCACGAGTCAGCCTATTCGTGGCGAACAAATTGCTCATCCCCACATTTCGCAGCAAAAGCTTATTCTAACTTCTAAAAAAACGAATTGTATACATATACTACTACTACTTTTTTTCTGCGCTGACTAGCGAGACTAAACAGACGTGTCTTTTGTTATTTATAATGCACACCTGTAAATAATTGCGAAATAAAAAAAAATATATTTTGTGGCGTCAGATTTATATCAAGTAAAGTGTGTCATGAGTACTTAGTAGGTGACAACAACTTTGTCATAGTGTAAAATGAATAAATAAACTATTTTTAAACAATCTGTGTTACTGTGTTAGTTATGTCTAACCCAGAAGCCAGCCCGTTTGGCCGTAGCCAATTACTACGGCGAAGCCCACCATCGACGCCATCGGAACCTCCTAGAGATCCTAGCCCGCCTCCAGTCAGGGAAAATGAATTACCAAGTGAAGTAATTTCTACGCCGGAGATACAGAAGTGGATGAGTTCAATTGACTCAATCTTGAATGAAGTCTGCATTGTTGTTTCGGAGGGGAAAATGAACTCTGAACAGAAGCTTCGAGTTACCAATCTTTGCCGAAAGGTTTCCAGCGGGACGTCTCAAATGGCCATTTTATACCAAGCTCTGAAGCAGAAAACTATCCAGGCCCATAACTCAAATCAGCATTTACAAGAACAGCTGAATATTTCAAACTCTCTGCACCAGCTCAAAGATGCCGTTGAAAATAAAATTCAACCAGAGACTAAATCATATGCCAATATGGTTAAAAAAGGATCGGATACTTTTGTTTGTCCAGAAAATTTGAATTCTGTCGTAATTTATCCCAATGACAAGACCAAAACGAGTGATGAAACAAAGTCTCTGGTCCAAAAGATTATCTCGCCGGAAGAACTTAAGCTGCACGTTCGTGGATTGAAGAAGGTTAGAAATGGGGGTGTCATAATTAATACTGAAACTAAAGGGGACATCGAAAAACTTAAGAACTCAGTAAAATTAGTTTCATCTGGTCTTAAAATTGAAGAACCATCAAAACGTCGACCCAGGATTGCTGTTATTGGTGTACCAGTAGCCCTTACAGAAAAAGAGGTATTCGATTGCATATTCGAGCAAAACATTACCGACAAGTTGCCGAATATAACACGTGAGTCATTCCTGGAAACAATCAAATTGAGCCACAAATCGGGTAAGAAGAATCTTTCTACCTGTAACTATGTTTTGGAAGTTCCTGCCAGCATTAGGAGAGCATTAATTAATCAAGGCCGAATCTTCATCAATTGGACGTCATGTCCGGTCCGAGATTTTACTATTGTGACAAGGTGCTTTAATTGCCAACAGTTTGGTCATGCGGCCAAGTTTTGCCGAGAAGCTATTGCTACATGCAATCACTGTGGGGAAACTGGCCACTCCTTCAAGGACTGTAGTAACAAATCTTCTCCCTCACAATGTGCGACGTGCAAACGTTTTAAGCGTAGATGTGACCATCCAACAGGGGATATGAGTTGCCCAGCTCGCAAATACGCAGAAGACTACTACATTAATTCCATAGACTATGAAGGGGCCTAATGCTATCACACACCTTAGTATGTAAGCACTTTAGAAGTAAACTTTTATTTTGTATTATTAAAAATTGTTAATTTGTAATTATTATGACCATATGATTTCTGTGTCTGACGCGCAAGTATGCAATTTAAAAATAATCGCACATAACTTAATTTCGCACGCTGACTTTGGATGCACTTGCCCTGCTTTGGTAAATGCTGACTATACTAAATATGTAGGTGTAACAATTGACACAAATCTGAACTTCCGTAAGTAAACACATCGGTCTTTTGTGTACTAGATCGAATGTGCTATTGATGCGTAAATTGATCTATATCTAAAAACTTCTAGAAATCGTACAATGTTGGTCACTAGTCCGTAAGAAACAAACACTTCAAGTGTTATTTTAAATCTGTTTTATAATTTTATATGTATAATGTTT